TAATTTTCTGCATGTTGAATGAAAAATTACATTTATCAAATATTTTATTGATTAAGTGATATAAATCACTGTGTGTAAGTTGAGGATTTAGAAGTTACGAAATGAAATGAATTCACTTTACCTTCACAATATTTGTCCTACTGGTTTAATAAAAGCTAATCGAGAGCAATAATTGAATGAATTATTCTTCTTTTGTCATTCCTTCATATCTGTCTTCCTTTCTATACTATATCCTAATATACAACCTTTATTTTTTTATATATTACCACCACTAAATTAATTCTATGAATTCGGTATTAATCTTGTTGGGTTAACGAGGTATGGCAACTTGGACCGATGCATATAAGTGTCTGATCATACGTTGTAGCTGACTGACTGACTGACCTTTTTTGTTATTTTTTCATACTACGTATTTCGGTGAGACTTGTTATATCGATTGTGAGAGTGCCTTGTTAATAAATGACGTGATGATCCCCGTCAATGAAAAAGAAGTGAGTTATCGATCAAAGAAATGATACAAGAAACCCGAACGAGCAGTCTTGAGCACTTATTAGTCCTGCTTTCTGCCTAGCCCAGCCAGTTAAGTCCAGAACACCAATAACAGCCTATTCAATGTGAATTATTATTCACAAACATACTGGGTTTTATACCAAACAAACTGACCACATCGTATCATAAAATAGAAAATAACATTTGTACAAGCTTCAGCTCAAAGTGGATATGAATAAGGGGAAACAGTAATTAGTGGACTAGGGATAACTCAAGAATGGTAAATCGTATAATAATAGTCTATAGATCAAAATAAAGTTTATAATAAGAGGGACACGAATATGATACAATAGGAAATATATATCACATCGTTCAATAAATAGATCTCAAAGTTACCATTTATAAATCTCCACGGCGTATAACAAGACTATAATTTATGGATGAACCAATTAGATTTGGGGTAACAAGTTTTGGATTTTGACGTGAAATTTATTCATCCATTCGCCTAAATAACGTCTTGGCATTTTAGCTGATATCAGTTCATGATGGGAACAGTAAATTTAATTCTTAACCATAACCATCAACTGTAGATCACAATCTTAATTCTTCTCATTGCCTAATAATTCTAACTTGGCCCTATTAAGTAGGTTAATATTCTCAGGGTCACTTTGACGTTGCTCAAAGGTTGTCCGTAAATTATACTCTCACTAGTATTTCTATTTGAGCAATCAACAATATGGTGAACCCAGGACTTTTGTGCAGGATCGTGTATGCCCACTCCTGAAGAGTCCTATAGTAGGGAGAAAAGGCCATTCATTGCTTCCAGGTTTTCTGTGGTAGTCTGACTTTAATTGACTCATGAATTCAACTATTAAAGTGTGTAATACCTTTATTTGATTGCCAAGCAAATGAGTAGAAAATCGAAAACAAATATTGGTTGTATAAAGCCTTGTTTATTGATTCTATAAATTTCCAGCTCCAAATGATGTTGTTACTAACGCTTCCGATGAATTGAAGTTTGAGGAGTAAGGTGGTTTTTTTCCATGAAAATGACTTTATCATCTTCTGTGATTGTGAAAAAATAATCTTAAAGTAAATAAATTCAAATCAAAATACTATCCAGCACCTTTAACATTTGGTATCCTATCATCAGAATACATCATAATGTATAAATATAGTTATAAAACTAAAGTAGTTTACTTCATGATACATGGATAATTTTCTCTTACACTCATTTCTGTTTACTCATTCATTTTATCATCGATTTAATAGAACTGTCATTGTAAAAACAAGCCAATTTATTGTTGTTATATTGGGGATAAAAGAAAAAAACAAACTCAGGAGAACTTAATCTTATCCGACATTACATAGTAACAATTTTTAATGAACTGAAAGTAGAACACACATGAGTGTAGCATTTGAGATGGTGGAGAAGATTTGTAGCTCAGGTGGATGACTTTGATGGAGATTTGTTCTTTGAGTTGGATGGTGTAGCATTTAAACGAGTTTTTTCTACATGGATTCAACTGTATCTTAGATAAATATCAATGATAATAATAAGTAAGAGAGGAAACATGATTTGTTTTGATATTTATTAATAATTTAATTAATTAATATTTCATCCTTCGATTGCATGACAAAACTGATGCATATGATAAGCATGTTTATCAACTAATATAAATGAACAGTAGAACCTGGAAACGCTGGACGGCCGTTTCGTCCTATTGTGGGAATCTTCGACAGTTCGAATCCACGATCCCACCTCACGAGATTCGAACTCCGGACCTATCGGTCTTGCGTGCGAACGCTTAACCTCTAGACCACTGAACCAACCGGTATCCAGCGGTTTTATTAACTAACGTCAACCGATCAACGAAATCAAGCGACACATTCACCACTGTATTCAGTAGGTTAATATTTAACAACGGACCCGGTCCAATGGTCAGTTTTTCTCACTAGAACTCCATGAATTACCTCTTGAAGCCAGTCACTAGTGAGCATACGATGACTATTATCAGAAGGGGTTTTTGTGGGTATTTAAGTAATTTTAATAGTTCAGATCAAAAGTCATTTAACTAGTTTGTTTTTTCTTCGAAAATTAAAATGTAACTAATTTAGGCAATAAATATGATATCAAGGTGTCGGTAGATTGTAGCTTTTCTTTTCTAAACATGCGGTGTTTTTTTTTGAGGACGGTGAATGAAACACTTTAAGAAATAATATGACTATGCTTTAGCTATTGAATAAACCGATGGTTGATTGATTTCAATCTTCGTCATTTAGAAATTAGATGACTTGCGTTGAAAGGCTTATATATTTCAAAATCTTCTTCGGTTCTTGAATAAAATCTAATTCCTTAAATGTTTAAAAGAAAGAAAGGAAAAATGTGATAATGATTAGTCCCAGAAACTAACGTCAGATAGAAAAAGATCGATAATCAAACGGTAATAACACAGATGTTTCCCTGTGATTTACAACTCCAAAACAATTTGTACCACACTGTTAACACAGGAGCTTGTCCATGGTTACAGGTTTCACCTCAAACTAAATAATTTTGGATCGCTTAAATGAAACACAATGTTTCGCGTTTTCAAATACGATCAAATTTAGATATCGCAAATTATCAAATTAGTGACGTTAAAATATTATGCTTATGCTGGGCCTAAATATCTTGAATTTGATCTCGTATTATGAAGTGAGCTCGCACTTCTGAGAAGCTCCAAGTTGTTGCTTTCTTTCTCGTGATCTTCAACAGCACACTCATTGATGTCATTTAATGTAAAATGTCATATATTGATTTTAGTACGAATAGAACCCCAAACAAATGAATTGAGAGTATCAATGTAGTTTCATTTGTATTAGGAAGAACAAATCTGAATTTATTTAATATTGAATTTGTTTTTCATGACTACTCCGGTTGTATTACTAAATAAAGATGAACTGAGATAACTAAACAAATTTGTTTTTGTAAAACCTCTCTAACAGTTTTGCGATCAATTCGCAGGGAATTAACATTCTTCTAGTAACGTACTTGTAAACCTGACAGATATGAGGGTATATGTTATTGATCAGTTAGTATTTCGTTTAAATATCTCTGCCAAGCAGAAGTTTACTTTTAGACAAAATAAAATAATAGTAATTTATCTAACTGTTATACCTAGTGATGACAGGTCTAACTTTCTTAGGGACTACAAGATCCCTCAATATTTCATATGCGCTTAGATAATGATTAGGAATCATCCCAAAATGCAGGTTCAAAGATTTTTGTCGGTTGTTATCAATTACCGATTAGTTGTCTGAAATATGTATGATTTGCAAAACCAGACTAAAAACTGGAAAATCTGATGAATCCCTCAGTCTTATATTAAAGACCTTCAAAAGAATGGAATGTTTTAAAATGTGAATACAATTATGTAACTATTTCAATAATTTTCTAATTTTTTTAATGGTGTATTATAAGCCTTTTTCTGTCTATCCTTCGGAAAAGAGAAGCCAACCCCATATCTTAATACTGATTTACCTAGTTGGGAAATGTGAAATTTCGTGAAATTGAAATATAACCAACATTAAGATAATCATCTTTATTGGTAATGATTGATGGTCACCCTATTTTATGAATGGACTTAATTTAGAGATAGAAACTCTTACTGTGGTCCAATGTTAAAACACCATAAGAAACTATCGTCTTAAACGCTATTGCTGATTAGATCATGGGCACACACTGGATAATGAGTCCTAATCTTGAAAGAACGAGCTGTCCAATGTTGTTTATTTAAACAATTTTACTGACAAATTAAGAAACCTATCAATTTAATTTGTTACACAATCAGTTACTATATTCTTATAAGAACATTTTTAAAATTCTCATCACTTACCATTAGTTGACTTTATTATTCTGTACGTTTTTAAAAAAAATTGGCGAAAATTTTTTCCCTACTTATCGGATGTACGCCATTTTGCAATTAACCACCACCTCCCCATGAATTTCAAAAAAATACTGAAACCAATCATTATTTTACTTTACTTTTTACTTACTTACGCATGTTACCCCTTGTGGAGGAGCATAGGCTACTCACCAGCATTTTCCATCCAACTCTGTTCTGGGCAATCCTTTCTAGTTCTTTCCAGTTGTTATTCATTCTTTACATATCTGCTTCTATTCCTCGTCGTTGTGTGTTCTTTGGCCCTCCTCTTTTCCGATTTCCTTCCGGATTCCAAGTTATGTCTTGCCTTGTAATACACACTGATGATTTCCTTAATGTATGTCCTATCCACTTCCAACGTCTTTTCCTAATTTCCCTTACAGCTGGAAGCTGGTTTGTCCTCTCCTATAAAACGCTGTTGCTGGTGAAAGCAATCATGAACACACATTATTAGAGCATGGAATTTTACATTTTAAAATAAATTGTATATATATATATATATAGTTTTTGGCCATAAAGATTATGTAATTTCATTTTATATTCATTAAATTAATTTCCCAATACCGGTTTTTACATCTTTCATCTTAGCTTACTGTCCTAGCAATCGATGGAGGATATGATGCATTAGATTCTAGTAGATTGCAGAGATCTCTTAATCAGATTAAAAATTATCATACAGCTACAACACAAGTACTTATAAATATATTAGATGAAAATGATAATCCACCTGAATTTCGTGGTCCAAGACAATTTGCTGTTGAAGAAAATCAATCACCAAATACATGGATTGGTGATCTACAAGTAATAGATAGAGATGAAGGAAATAATAGTGAAGTTATATTTACATTATTAAATGGTAGAATGAAAAACAATAATAATACTGAACAACCCACAAAAAGAATTAATGAAAATATGTTACATCGCAATAGTGTACCAATTCATTTGCTTGAAAATGGAAGTTTATTTACTACAAAATCATTGGATAGAGAAAAACAGGTAAGTACTTAGATTCACTTGATATTGTTTGTTTGAATCTTCTCAATGATGTTTAGGACTGCAATTGATCAATCTCTTATCGGCTTATGTACGTATTGCTCCTATATAGCCCTAATCCAGAAGCAATATAAGCAAAGATGGATCGTGGCTGGCAGTGGAATCTAGGACGCGCGTTTCATCTTATCTGGAACTCGTCAGTTGGGTGTACCTGCATCTCGGAGTTGATGTTCACTCTGGGACTGGAACCCAGTATCGTTCGACTCAAACGCCAACGCGTTATCCATTCGTACTGTTATTTTTTTTAGATTTCAGTCATCAATCTCTTACCATGTTGTACCTTTGGATACATATCACAGTTGATTTTACTAACTATAAAACCACTAATAACCCATGCAAATACATTCAAATGTAGAAAAAAGGAATATTTCTAAAAATCAGATAACTTTAATATTTCGCTTAATAGTCTAGTCTGAATATTGAAACTATTGAGTATATCAATAATGTCACAAAATAACTATCTACTAAAGTATATATATATATATATATATATATATATATACATGTTTGGCATGCTCACTAAAAGTCCCTAAATATTTTAGTCAGGATCACATCATTCATCCCATTTGTTAGTCTCAAAACAAAATTCATCAGATAGATTAAGAAAAGTAAATAAACAGATAATTGCTTGTTTATGTTTTTTATGTTAAACAGACATATTATCGATAACAGATCAGAGTAATAATAATTAACTAAGGTATTCAATGTACCATGTTGTTGTCAACTTTCATAAATGTATGAATAGTAGACAAAATGTTATTTGCTTACTAATCTTTCATTCATATATATAAAGTTAATTATAAGCAAAGATGGATAGTGGCTAGCAGTGAAATCCACGACGCGCGTTTCGTCCCAGTTGGGACTCGTTAGCTGGATGTACCTTCATCTCAGAGATGATATTCACTCTGGGACTCGAACCCAGTACCTTTCGCTGTAAACCACTATCCATCCTTGCTTACAATGGTTGTGAAATAAGGCTATATCGAGGGAATACGCACAGTATGCATATATGCCAATAAGATACTGACCAGTTTCAGTGCTAAACATCAATAGGAAGATTCAAACAAGCAATACTAAGTGAATTTAAAGTTAATTATACTTTATATTAATTTTATAAATCATTCAATTTTAAAAGTATGTTTAAGGCTTCGGCTATCAATTGTTCTATGAAAAAGAAACCCCTGTAGACTTTAACCATGGTGTAATCAATCATTGGAAATTTGAATGACAATCCTATTGACCCTAATAGGATGAGTAAATTAAAATTAAAACATAATTTGAAGAAAAACTCACTATTTATTATTTATTTATTATGAATTTATTCATGAAGATAGCTTTTGGCTATATATATAATCACTAGGTTTTGATATAAATGATTTGTACATGTATCTTTATCTTTCAATACATCAGTTTGAACATATTTCATATAATTTGCTACACATTTAAGCATGACTAAAAAAAATTGTTATTTAAGATAGAGGTTTTTGTGGAGATTTTAGTAATTTAATAGTTAAGATCATGAGTCAATTGAAGTTAGACAAACATGGAAAACCTGGAAACACTGGACAACCGTTTCGTCCTAATGTGGGACTCCTTAGCAGTGCGCATCCATGATCTCTTTTCACGAGATTCGAACCTAGGACCTATCAGTCTCGCGCGCGAGCACTTAACCACGAGACCACTGAGCGACGATCCAACGATGTTAAGGTCTAACTTCAACCGATCCACGAAATTGAGCGACACATCCACCATTGTCATCGGAGAGTTCCCATCTAACAACCGACCCAGTTGAACTCCACAGGTCACTGCTTTTCATTAAAACTTCAGGGAATATCTTTTGATTCCAGTCACTAGTGAGCATATGCTGATCAATATAAGAAGGGGTTTTTGTAGATATTATAGTAATTTTAATAGTCCAGATCATGAGTCAATTGTAGTTAGACCACCATGAAAAAACTGGAAACACTAGACAACTGTTTCGTGCTCGCGTGCGAGACTGATAGGTCCTAGGTTCGAATCTCGTGAAAAGAGATCATGGATGCGCACTGCTAAGGAGTCCCACATTAGGACAAAGCGGTTGTCCAGTGTTTCCAGGTTTTCCATGTTTTTCTAACTTCAATTGACTCATGATCTCAACTATTGAAAAATTTCTATATTCAAAATTTACTGATATATGATCAAACAATCTTTTGGCAATAACTGAATAATATTTCCATAGTTGCATTTAATTGATCATTGAATTGTGATCAACATTATATCTATCTAGTCTTTAAATGTCGATCAAGTTTTATCAATCAAGTTGCAATGTACTTATTAGTCTGGGTAACTGGACGCGGCATGGATTATGTTGAGATTTAGGTGGTTACAGATTGTCAACAGAAAACTGGTATTATCATAACATATGTTAGCATTTCAGTCCTTTCATTTCCTATATGTTAAAGGTGAGAGAACAGTGTTCAAATTTGTCAGTTTACAGTTCCTTACTTGTCAAAGCACACATATTATTGCAGTTAAAGTTAGAATAACACTACAGTTCGGTATATTCAAATAGGTGAATACCTTGAAAGGTCAAGCATACAAATTACATCATTTCATATCATTTACAAGGAAAAAGAAATTATCGTGTTCTTGCATTTAAGGTGAATCAGAGGGAAGGAGGGGGTCTATCAATTTTTTTCTTGTTTCATATCATTTGAAAATGATTCAATGTACGTTGTTAAGTTGACTTTTCTGTTTTGTTTTTTTCTTTTTTTCACACAATTTCTATATTTAGTCTTTATATTGTTTTGAAGTTGTTGTGTCAGATAAAGGTGTAGAAAGATCACATTCTACAGCTGACACAATCTGTGTACGTGTATTGGATCTGAATGATAATAGACCATATTTTATTGAAATTAAAGGTGCTGAACAAAGTAAGACAAATTGTTTCTGAAGCTTAATTATTTGTTTATTATTATATCCAACAGTTAGTCAGTATTCAAAACATCCACGAATAATACAATCCAGTTTTATAAACTGATCTAGTAAACTACAATGACGTTAAATTTTTAACAAATTGTTAGTGAGACTATAACATATGGACAACATTAGAGCGACGCCAGAAAGACTTTGAGAGTGTCAACCTACTTACTAGGGCTCAATGAGGATTGTAAAGCAATTTAAAAATTAGTGATTATAATTCACCGTTGATGGTTAGAGTTAGGTATTAGATTCACGGTTTGTCATCACGAACTGATATAAGCTAAAATCCTAAGACGCCATTTGGTCAAATAGGTGAGTGAATAATGCGCCGAAATCCAAGAAATGTTATCCTAAATCTGATTGGTTCGTCCATAACTTATTGTCTCGCCAAATTTTTCTATTTAAAAAATGTATTTCTGAATGGTTTTTGGTAAGAAACTAAATTCGGAAATAACTATCCTAATGAACGGAAATTAATAAAACAAGTTCAAACTAGATCACAATCTCGATCACTTTCGTGCCGATTTAAGACACATCAGTGACCAAACATGGAACTCACAAGAATAAACATGTGATTATTGTTTGGTTTAGTAGTTTGCAAAGATTAGTTTTATATAAAAAACATATTCTTCTAGGATGATTATTGTGTAGATTTGGGGGTAGGCACCATGAAGGTATCCCAAATGATAATAACATGACTACTATATGACTACTGGCTTTCAATACTTTTCTAATTGATGCTGAATAATGCTTTATAGCAAAAATCATTTTCCTCAAATTCCGAACAAAATAGTACTCATTGATGATTTAAGTATGATTAAGATAAAAATAATAACCAACACCAAGATCAGAATTTTCAATACAAATGTCAAGACAGTTCCACTGTATGGGGCGGAAACGTGGAGAACTCTGAAAGTCATCATCCAGAAGATACAAGTGTTTATTAACAATTGTCTATGCAAAATACTTCGGATCCGTTGGTCAGACACTATCAGCAACAAGTTACTGTGGGAGAGAACAAACTGGACTCCATCCAGCGGAAGAAGGAATCAGGAAGAAGCGCTGGAAGTGGATAGGACACACATTGAGGAAATCAGCCAACTGCATCACAAGACAAGCCCTCACATGGAATCCTGAGGGTCAAAGGAGAAGAGGAAGACCAAAGAACACATTTCGCCGAGAAATGGAGACAGACATGAGAAGAATGAATAACAATTGGATAGAACTAGAAAGGAACACCCAGGACAGAGTAGGTTGGAGAATGCCGGTCAGCGGCCTATGCTCCACTGCGGGGGGGCATGCGTAAGTAAGTAAGATCGAAATAAGAATTAAATTTTCCAAGTTCAATCAGTGCAACACTAAACCACTGAAAAAGGATAGTCAATTTCAACAGAATTTCATTATACAATTCAAATTCCTTTGATTATCAATAGTTATTCATTTTCATGATGAACCAAGTTACTAGAAATCGGTAAAATGGCATACTAAATCTATTTAGTATATTACCTCATACCAATTGATTCCTTATTTATAATATTCCCAGTGGATTTAAAACCAAGTCTGTTGTGAGATATCAACTCACTGAAGACAATTAAGGAATAGTTGCTCAATTTCGTGGACTAGTTGAAGTTAGACATTAACACCGTTGGATGCCGGTCGGCTCAGTGTTCTATCGGTTAAATGCTCTGGCACAAGACTTGTAGGTCCTGGGTTCGAATCTCATGAGGAGGGATTGTGGATGCGCACCGACGAGGAGTCTCGCAATAGGACGAAACGGCCGTCCAGTGCTTCCAGGTTTCTCATGATGTTCTAGCTTCAATTGACTCACGCTTTCAACTATGAAAATACTAAATCTCCATAAAACCTTGTTCTGATAATAATTATAATGAAATCAATTTATTTCTTTTTTTAAATAGTATTAATGATAGCATATTTTACATAGTTTTCTAACAATATACTAACTATGCTACTATTAACTACTCAATATAATGTCTACTATAAATTGTACGTACAATTTGATTTATTCAATTTACACTCAATTACAAAAGCAAATGTACATAACTACTATTCTAATGTTGACAATTTTTGTGATTACGCCAAATCTATCCAACAATAATGAGTTAATCACATAATAACAATAAAAAAAAGCAACTAATGATGCCGAAAAATCATAAAAAAAATCAATAATAATAATAGTAATAATAATAGTAATGGTAATAGTAATAATAATAGGGATGCTTTTAATCTTCTCTATATTTACATTACCATATTGTCTGTATATTGTGATAATGTTACAATAATGGATCTATTTGTTATTCATATCAAACTAATATATCTTTACCATTAATCATTTAGCACCATGATAATAATATTGTTCTATTCTCTCTAAATGTAATGTATAAACATTATTGTTGTTTAAAATAATTCGTAGTAAATTTACATGATATGGTTGCTTTAAGGTAATTGAAATGATATAGTAGAACAATGAATACATATATATACGTGTTTTTTTGGGGGGGGATTGATTGAAAAGATGAAATCAACAAGATGTATATGAAAATAAATAAAGTGATTAGATCTGATGTAATTTATTTTTGAAGATAGTAATGTTTAGTTAGTATATGGATGATAGATACTAAAGGACTTCTTGAATATGATTGAAGTAAATGTTTATTACTGGCATTATAAACAATGATGGATAGTGGCTAGCAGTGGAATCCAGGACGCGCTATTCGTCCTTGATTATAATGCTTGTATATTAAGGCTATATCGAGACAATACGCACAGTATGCAGATCTGCCAGTAGGAGACTGACCAGTTGCAGTCCTGAATATCAATGGGAAGATTCAAACAAACAATACTAAATGAATTTAAACTTCAACCCATTGCACGAGCAAGTGGCTATCAGAACTCAGTAGGTGAGTGGATAATGCCATGACATTTGAAGCGAACGGTCCTGAGTTCGAGTCACAGAGTGAACATCAACTCTGAGATGCAGGTAAATCCAGTTGACGAGTCCCAAATAGAACGAAACGCGCATCCTGGATTCCACTGCTAGCCACTATGCATTTTCGCTTATAATGCTTGTGATTTAAGGCTATATCGAGGCAATACTCACAGTATGCACATATGTCAATGAGAGACTGATCAATTCCAGTCCTAAACATCAATTGGAAGATGCAAAAAAACAATACTAAGTGATCGAAGGGGGGTTTTGTGGAGAATTTAGTATTTTCACAGTTGAAATCATGAGTCAATTGAAGCTAGACCACCATCGAAAACCTGGAAGCACTGGATGACCGTTTTGTCCTATAATAGGAGTCCCATAATAGGACGAAACGGTCGTCCATTGCTTCCAGGTTTTTGATGGTGGTCTAGCTTCATTTGACTCATGATTTCAACTGTGAAAATACTAAGTGAGTTTATTACTGGGTAAAATTTAGTCATTTTATTCGGATTATTAGTTAACAGTTAAAAGAAATCCAAATTTTAAGGTTTCTAGAGATCAAGTGTAATATTTAGCATTTCATCTTTTTGGAAATATTTAGTGTTAATTATTAAAGTACCATTAATATAGGATAGATTGTTTCCGTTAGTGATGAGTTGTGGTTTCCCAAGTTCAATATTCACGACCGTAATGGATTAGTTTCTGTTGCTATATGTGCATCCTCAGTGAACTATCTCGATGTAACATTTGGTCGAAAGTTGCTATATAGTCGATATGAAGCTAGTAATAAAATCTAGAATAAGCATTTCTTCCTGTTTAAGATTTGTCATTAGGATGTATCTGTGCCTCAGAACCGATGTTCATTGGGAGTACATATAGTAACATACACTGATTAGTTGTAACCCTGGACATGACGGACGAGAAATTACAAACATTTACTAATACGTTCATGATAATTGAATGGTTTAGTACATATCTGAACTCTGAAGTTCACAGGATAACAGTAGCGTTTGGACCGAGCGATACAGGATTAAATTCTCAGTATGAGTATCAACTCTAGAAAATAGGTATGCTCACTTGATTGATCCGAAATAGCGTAAAATGTGCGTCCTGGTCTTTATTGCTAGTCACATATCAAATATACTACAGATTATTTGCATTTAATGTTACTGATAGTGACGATCTACGGGTGAATTATATTTGTTGCACGCTATTGTAATATCCTTACGTTATTTTACATTAAGCGCAATAGAATTTAATTACTCACTAATAAATAATCATTGAACTAAAAAGTATTTTATTTAAACATAATTATAGGATGATGTTTATTGGTGAACTGAGTCATCATTGCCATCTCTTAATGAATAGTAGGCATAAAAGTTTAAAAACAATTCACTGTAGGGAATTTTATGAAACTGAATATATTGAAGATATTTTTTTAATGAAAAGTAACTGCATCTCAGAATCGATGTTCACTCTAATCCCCAACCTTTCGCTTCAAACGTCATGACATTATCGACTCAGCTACTGAGTCCTGATAGTCACCTGCTTGTGCATTGGGTTGAAGTTCTAAATTCACTTGGTGTTGTTTACTTGACGGTCAGTGAGAAGATACAAGTAAACAACGGTAAGTGAATTCGAAGCTAAACTTATTTATAGGAAAACGAAACAGTCTTAACTCAGTATACATCATATGATATTACATTTTCACGATTAGATTGGGCGACGACTCTTAATATGATAAATGTAAAAAATTTACTTTTTCTAAAAATAACTGATCCTTGTTATTTTCCTCCTCAATATTTCAGTTGATGGTAATAAAACATTACTGAATGAATCAATATCCGAAACAACTCATTCCACAATATCACAAGTCAACCCAATTAAACGTGATGAAATGAAAGTAAATTATTCACAATATCCTGTAGTACGTGTATCATACAATGAAGTACCAGGTTATTGTGCTTTAGTTGCTAGAGCAATTGATGAAGATGAAGGTAGAAATGCTCAATTACGTTATGGTATAACACGTCAATATTCACATATTAATCAACAAGGATTAAAAAATGAAAATGTACTTGATGCATTTACAATGGATCAACCAAGTGGTCGTGTTATGTTAACAAGAAGTTTGAATTTAAATGAACTTGGTTCATATGAAATGGTAATAACTGTGGAAGATAATGGAGAACCAGTTCAGAGAGCAGAAAAGGTGAAAAATTGAAAGATTAACCTTTAGAAATTTTAACATTTTTGATAAGAATAACTTAACCAAAAGATTATTTTGAATGTCAGTAGACCACCCCGGTACATTTTGGGAAAAAAAACGGTATCTTCAAAACTTTAGATAACTCTAAAAAGCAACTAGTCACTAAAACGATTTACCTATTTATCAAGAATAATCATATTCAGTATACCGTTTTGGTAAAATGGTAAAACTATCGATGTAGTGCTTGCTATTTTGTAACTTAACTACATTTTCGATTTATTAGACAACAATTAGATAATTTAATAGTTTACAGAACTGATCATACTTAGGTTATCATAGAAAACTTGGGATTCCTTAACAATGAGTACTGATAACTCCTTCGAGAATCTAGCCTCGGACCGTCTGATTTTAATTCGCAGCCAATTAAACTACGGTACAATAGTTTACACATTTAACCTCGATACATTCGCGATACTATGCAAATATCTCCCAGTTACGATGGTGACTAACTTCCTCACAATTGAAACTGTTAGTTTCTAACCAAAACATTAGAGTCAATATTTGGAAATCAGTTTAAACCATACATAATTACATGTGAGAGAATAATAAAACAATCATCACTTCAGATTTTTGTTTGAAAAGGACTACCAATAAAAAAATAATATCCGATTAATATAGACCATTAATCGATTACAGGGGAAGTTTACATTATTGCCGAAAAAATAATTTTTCTGAACTTTCTATGAGCTTCTCCAGAAAGTTCACGTTTACCACTCTTTCACAGAATTTTAAATTCTTCTTATTACTATTAGCTTTATTCAATGTTATAGTTTTGGTACAATATAGAATTCTCTTCATGAAGTATTTCAACAAGTTTCCATTTCTTACTTCTTGGTCGATCCTGACGATAAATAATGAGTGATTACAAGTTAGAATTTAGCAGTCCAGTCAATCGACGTCTAAGTAATGTACATTCTTTTCCCTGCATGTTGACACCAACCACGATATCTCTGATTAGGCCTTTTGTAACTTGTACAATGAAAGGTTGTACACTCCTTAGGAAAGCATTTGAATAGCTTATGCGAATAATAGCCATGATGATATATTAAAATAAAATTAGATAACTTGTTGAAACATTTAGATAGCGAGAACAGGTAGCCCAAAAATTCAAGCAGGCCACCGTATAAATGAACATTTACTTATATGATTATTCTAGGGGTGTTCACTTTCTCCTTGTTAATTTTAAAAGACTGTAATCTTTCAAACTTTTAACAATAAAATTTATGCTCGTTGCGAAAACCAGTGGTTGTTTTGACTGAATAACACAATGGCTAGAGCGTTGAAACTAAAGGTATGATGTTCAAGATGAGAATATCAGTACCGAGATACATTTCACATGCAATTAATGAGTTTTGAATAGAACGAAACATGCTTGCTAAAATTCACTGTTTACCACAATCCAGCTTTTATAATGACTCTTATAATAATTTGTAATCGGGCTTGCTTAATCATTTCCTCAAAAGTCTCATCTCGGAATATACTTATCGTGACAAAGTTAGATCACAACTGATCACACAGTATACAACATTACTGTAACCTTCAGATTATGTAAAAACAATTCTAAATATAAAGTTTGGTCAAAGTTTATCTTTATTTAAAACTAGCCCATATATTGTAAGCAAAGATAGATAGTGGCTAGCAGTGGGATCCAGGACGCGTGTGTCGTCCTGTTTGGGACTCGTAAGTTGGATGTATCTGCATCTCAGAGTTGATGTTCACTATGGGACCCCAACCCAGTGCCTTTCGCTTCAAACGCCATTGCGTTATCCACTCAGCTACTGAGTTCTGATAACCACTTGCTTGTGCAATGTAGTGAAGTTTGAATTCATTTAGCATTGTATGTTTGAATCTTTCTTACATGTTCAACTGTATTTAGTAAATAAGTTTTCTTTTACATATATACAACTTGTTACATAACGATTTGTAATTTTGTATACCATCATGTTTCTATCTTTATTACCCCCTTCAACTTTATATATATATATATATCCCTGCAATCAAGACTATTCAATTAATTATTGAAGCAAGTTCACCTCGTGGTAATTGGTTATTTCCTGAAATTGAACAAACTCGTGATTTCTCAATATTTAATTCTAAATATACAATTACTGAAGCTAATACAATTTTAATTGTCATTATTCTATCTGGAATATCAGCATTTTTAGCTGCTTTATTAATAAGTGCTATTTTATGTATGATTAAACCATGTAAGAAGTCGAGAAGTCCAAATCAGTTGAATAAGAATGTATCAAAAACAATGAATACCCATAATATGATTGTTGATATTGGTATGAATAAAGAATTTAATCCAATCATATGTGATTATGAAGGTGCTGATTTCAACTTATACAATCATCATCATCAACCTGGTAATTATACATCTGTAGGAACGATTGATAATTTCTATGGTCCATTATATCCATCAATTGGTCAACATTATCATGAAGGATTACCAATGACTAATAGTGATAAATTAACAGTATCTAGTATGGAAAATTGTTATGTACCATCATATAATATGTTCAATATTAATAATCATATTGATAATAGTCAGATTAATACTAACAATGATAATGATAATCAAGTCAATTCATCAACTACTGTTTCAATTCAAACAGCATGTATAAACAATGTGAACGGTGTAGAACAAGATTTAGGCATAATACGAACAAATGGTAAAACATTATGTGCTCAAAAATCTTCATCCCCGATAAATGTAATTCTAAGCACAGTGAGTTGATAGTGTTTTTTCGTATATTTTTCAGTGTTTATCTCTTATTTTGTAGAGATAATTATTATCAGAAAGGGTTTTGTGGATATTATAGAAATTTTGATAGTTAAGATCATGAATAAATTAAAGCTAGACCACCATGGAAAACCCAGAAGCACTGGACGGCCGTATGCTCACTAGTGACTGGCTTCAGGAGGTATTTCCTGGAGTTCTATTGAGAAGCAGTGACCAGTGGGGTTCAACCAGGTCTGTTATTAGATAATAACTCACTGAAAACAATGGTGGATGTGTCGCTCGATTTCGTAGATTGGTTGAAGTTAAACATTAACACCGTCGCATGCCAGCTCAGTAGTCAAGAGGTTAAGCGTTCGCGTGCGAGACCGATTGGTCCTGGTTTACAATCTCGTGAGAGGGATCATAGATGCGCACTCCTAATGAGTCTCACAAATTTGATGAAACAGCTGTCCAATTTTTCCAGGTTTTCCTTGCTGGTCAAATTTCAATTGACTCATGATCTCAACTACTAAAATTTCATTTTATTTTATTGTTTAAGAATAAATTCAACTGGAAACAATCGATATTCGAATTATTCTGTTCCTAATCAAGTATTTTGCATACTGATAGGATAGATTCATTACACTTGTGGTTACTTGATTTTACTCTGGTTATAATTTAAGCTAAATAGAATGAAGTTAGGGAAAATATTACAAATGATATCATTTTAACACTTCATTTATTCATAAGAAGATTATAAAAAAAACAAAATTTTAAACTTCATGTATATGTGTTTGATTTCATAGAGTCCGCAACCACAACTGAGTTATCTTCATTTGGAATATCCAAATAACGACTGTCATAAGACAGTATCGAATATATCATCATATAATATAACTTCAAGATGTTCAACATATTCACCACAACCCTTTAATTCTTACTGTCCAACATTTCAACCAACAACAATGCCAACTACATCACATACTTTGGTGTCTTCAAATGATCCTAATCTTAGATCAGAATGTGTTGTTCTTCAATGCACAAAAACACCACCTCCTTCAGCGTATTATTATCAACAAAATAGAACTGATTCATTATCGCCAAATCCACTATATAACACATCAGCGATACTTGATTTTGGTCCAGCTAGTTTAACGCGACCAAGTTACACAAATCAAAATATCCCGGTTATTGGCGAATGTATTGTTAAAGATCCACGAATTCATAATTCAATCATTGGTGAAGAACAAAGATCAGATAGTGGTCGTGGTGCTAGTGATGAAGAGAATTCTAATCAAATTCAATTAGTGAACACACTGCCAACAACAACGTCATTATCATCTGCAAATGAAAAACAACTGGATGAAACAACATTAGATACCCCTGTAAATCAGTCTAAGAAAAGTCAAAATTTTCGATCAAGTACGCTAAAATATTCTATTGACAATTCAAGTCATATAACAACCGGTCTTGTATTTCCAAGTCTTCCAAGAATTAACACATGTAAGTGGACCCTATTTTTTCCGGAAAATATTACTCTTTTTGAGAAATTATAAATTTTTAATATGGCGATAATATTTTCAAAAAAGAACTTCCAATAATTTTGTAACTTTGGTTTTTGCATTGTGAATTACCTTAAACAGAAAATCAAAATCATATGTGATGTATTGTTGTGTATTACAATTAATGTGACGCAGAACAATCTCAATCAACTTGAGATGGACTGTTATCCTGTTTTAAATTTATGAGATTTTCAATAGACTTTAGTTATCATAACATATCAACAGACTGTACTATGCATAAGAACTTTCGTCTAAATTAGAACGAATAGTTTCATAATATTTGGGCGCCGAGTTGATGTAAGACATTAAATGGGAAGAATATATGTGTAAAATCTCAGCGAATGAATTCGAAGTAAATTCAATGTTTCGCTTAAGAATCTGATCTAAGCTTTTTCAAAAAAATATATATTTCTAGGTGAAATGTTAGATTTACTTCAAATTCATTCGCTGAGATTTTACTAATATATTCTTCATATTTAAAGACTGTACTATGTATCTTATTAGTTTGATTTTATTATAAAACATATAAAACATATACAAAGAGGCCACAAGATCACACAAATCGATTGAGATTTGTGTGAAGGCTGTGATACTACATAGGTGCCCAAACATAAAAAGATGGCTTACTTAGGGGGCCACACCAGGAGACTTTGACCTAAAGGTCTGATCCACAAGGCAGTGGAGCATCGTAAGGAGATGCAATCCAATGGTAGTCGGTGACCAACGATTGATTCATACGCCATTTGTTCCTTCACGATACTGGAGCCCATGTACACCATCGGTTTGCAATCAGGGTTTTTCAACTCCCCTTGGTGAACTTTCCATGTCCACCAACCCGGTTAAAGCGCCGGACACTCCCTTTTCATCCTCTCAATTTCGTATACAACAGTAATGCCACGAGAAGGCAGTGAGTAGGACTTCCCTGATAGAGTCTATATATGTGTGGCCATGTGAGAGAATTTCGAGAAGGACTCTCCACACTTCGGGACGCATTAGGATTTTCGAGGGCCTAAATCTTATATTTAATAATATTTGAGAATAGTAATAAATGAAGAATTGATTGATTGATTTTATTATGCGGATTTGAAAAGGTTTTTAAAATGATCACCAATCATATGTTTGTTGAATGAGATAGACAGGAAACTTGGATTTCCATTTCATGTTAGCTTACATACATTAAGAATATTTATTAAACGTGAACAGTTTTTTATAAATCTAAACCACTATGTCCATTTATGTAAACTAAGATTCATGTGACATTTCGAAAGGGATAGTGGATTCTCTCTACTCTCGGTCGTATAAGGGCATTAGGGGGCATGTTTTCTATCCTGATAATATATATTTTATCCTTTAAATATATAAATATGTCATTTTCCCTTAATACATTCAATTATTCTATCTTTTATATCTCAGCATTTAGGGGCTTCATATTATCAACTGAATTGATAATAATTGATTATTATTTTGAACTTTTTAATTATCTCGATAGTAAAATCACAAGGAGAACAAAATATTACCCCCCCCCTCCGCATAGTAATAAGAAATAAATTTCAATGAAATTAAATTATGTAACATATGTGTCCACATGTTTTATGTTTAAAATTTTGAAAAAACAAGAAAAAAATAGAAAAAAATTTTTTTTTGGTTCTTTTTCATGATTTGATAATTTAGACAAAATATTAAATTAGAGAAAAAAGTTAGAAAAAAAGAAACATGTTTTTCTTACATTGTAATCATAAAATAATCAATTTTTGTTTTCTGTAAAAGAAGCGCCAGAATTTTTACTTTTCTAATCATATGGTTAGAAAATAAGTAATATGGGTTGATTTTTTGAAAAAAAAAATATTATTTTAAGGGAAATATAAAAAAAACCTTGTAAGATTAGTTACTAATCCATTAAGGCAAAGACTCATTTTTAATCGATTAATAAAAAAAATTGTTTAGAATAAACTTTATATATGATTGTAGATTAATCTTAAACACTATGGTTACAATTATTTTGTAACAAATGTAACATTCTAAATTCACTTAGTATTGTATGTTTGAATCTTCCTATTGATGTTTTTAGGACTGCAACTGGTCAGTTTCTTATTTGGCATATGTACATACTGTACGTTTTGCCTCGATATAGACTAAATTCACAAGCATGGTAAGCGAAGATGGATTGTGGCTAGTCCTATTTGGGACTCGTCAGCTGGATGTACCTGCATCTCAGAGTTGATGTTCATCTATCTTTGCTTTTAGTGCTTGTGAATTAAGGCCATATCGAGGCAATACGCACAGCATGCACATATGTCAATAAGAGACTGACTAAATTCAGTCTTAGATATCAATTGGAAGATTCAAACAAACAATACTAAATGAATTTCAAATTCACCTCATTGCACAAGCAAGTGGCTATCAGGACTCAGTAGCTGAGTGGATAACGTGCTGGCGTTTGAATCGAAAGCTACTAGGTTAAAGTCGTCGAGTGAACATCAACTCTGAGATGCAGATACATCCAACTTACGAGTTCCAAATAGGACGACACACGCGTCCTGGATTCCACTGCTAGCTACTATACGTCTTTGCTTAAAATGTAACTTTCTATTCATTGCATAAATGAAATTCGCTCTCTCTCTCTCTGTATATATATATATATAATGCTAGTTGTAAAGTGTTTCCTAGTTGATTGAGTAGTTAGGCCTTCCTTTTCATTAAACATGATAAGTTCCAAAATCTGTAGAACATGATTTGGAATGTTGTGTTGCATATTCCAAATCGTCTTCAGAAGTTCATTAAAATGAATTTGTTTTAGGGTCACATTTTTTTTTAACCTCATTAATCAAATGCTGAAGTTCATATAATCGTCCATTTACTCGTTAATTAGCATCCGTTTAAAATCCATAGATTATATGGATGAATATTTTTCAATGATACATTTGAACCTTCTTAAATGATCACTTGGGTTCATTAAAACATATTTGTTATTTATCCCTTTTTCATTTGATTAAAAATGAATTATATTTTCCTTAATTATTATTTTCGGTAATAAAGTTTATTAATTTTTCTTAAAAAGTTTGTTGATTATGCAGTAAACGAGAACATTTCTCACAATGTTTCAGATTCGAATCTTTGGGTCTGGGACACCACGGCAAAATCTTGACTTAGGATAAGGTTTATGTTTGAAATATCGATAACATCCTTTTTCTCCCTCTGTTTTCTTCTGCCACCAGACATTTCACTTTCTATTGATGATACATGCTACACTAACTGTTCACATCAGTAGCACACACCACAATAATACAAAGTTACCTGTCTGAAAATTAAAACCTAAAACAGATTCAACGTTACTGAAATAGGTTTTCTTCATTAATGAAATAACAAATTCAGGAACGTTAATTTAAGTTTTTTTACTTTCAACTCCTTTGATAGATACATAAATCTAACTACAATATATACCAGATGTAACTAGTATCAGTAAAAATGTGATAGGATACTTCATGTGTTTTACTGACTCGGATCTTTATTTCTTGTTTGTTAAGCAAGTGTCATTTACATATATACTGAAAATTGAGGAGAACAAATGTTAAATGTTTATTTAATGTTATCATATTCTCCCCAGGGATAATAATAATAATAGTTATACAACTTTATACAATCCCTTTTGCTTATCAACTATATTTTTTCTCTTTCTTTAGTTTACTTAGATATTTACTCTTATCTTTACCATCTGGTAGAATCAAAGACAGAATAGATTTGTATCAGAACATATACGTGTTCATGTAATGATATACATATATGTATATATATGTATATTCTTCTGATAAATGTAGCTGTTATTCTCTAAGGGAGTATCTACTAACTAAGGCACATGAATAAACATTGAATATAAAAGAAACTGTTGAACATCAAAAAAAGCAGTAAAGATGCAATGTTATTCATAATAGTCTAATTTAATAAAAGCAAATAGTCACTATGTAAATACGCTATTCCGATAGGTAATATTTGAAAGAGAAGCTTTATTATTCAGATTACATATACACAATATCTAATTAAAACAAAATATTGCCTCATAAAGAGAAGATATATTAATTACATTAAAAAGACCATGGATACTACTTATGTAGTCTTGACAGATTAGTAGTATATGTCATTTTTGTTTCATAAAATTCATTTTCCTATTTTAACTATGAGTTTTTAATTAAATGTTTCAGCTTTTTTAATATACATTTCTTGTATATTATTATCCAATAACCCGAATATCGAAACATTAGATTACTATAGGTTATTGTAATTTGATTGGTGGGTGTCAGCAACATTATTGAATAGTAAGATATAATGAGGTTAAGCGCTCGTGCGCGAGTTTGATAGGTCCTGGGTTCGAATCTCGTGAGACGAGATCGTGAACGCGAACTGCCGAGGAGTCTCGCATTGGGACGAAACGGCCATCTAGTGCTTCCAAGTTTTCCATGGTGGTCTAGCTTCAATTGACTCATGCTTTCAACTATGCAAATACTAAATCTCTACAAAAACCCCTTCTGATTATTCCAATTAGTAAAGTTTCTTTGCTATAGGTTTGTAATAAAACTGTATCACATAATACGATTATACTTGTCCCTTTTCTTTAATTGAGTAACATAACAATTTGTGTTCTTATGTAAATCAGTTTTATAACTCATATGCGATAGACTATAAAATGGCAAAATTATACTTTGTATAAAATAGTATGAACTATTGAATATAACTTTTGTTTATTATGCATACCACTCGAGATAGTTTACTTCAATCTCGATTCTATCTTGTTGAAAATGATTCTCAGGAAGACTTAGTTGTATTCTTATTAAATGGTATTCAAACTCATAGTGTATATAAAATACCCAAGAAATAGAGACTCCTCATATTATTCAAACTTATAATATATCGTATGTCATTGTCAAAAGCTATACTACTGAATGATTGTGATATTTATACTGGTTGATAATTTATTAATCAATCTCACCATATTTTATAGTTGAATTTGTAATTCAATTGAAGCTGGACCACCATGGAAAACCTGGAAGCACTGAACGGTCGTTTCGTCCCATTATAGGACTCCTTAGAAGTGCACATCCACGATCCCGCCTCGCGAGATCCGAACCCAGGATCTATCAGTCTCGCACGCGAGCGCTTAACCTCTTCATATCTGTCTATTCATTAATATTGATAAACCCCATCAATGAAATTACAAATTACAGCTATAAGTTGAAGTTAATCAACATAGTGGTTTAGATTTATAAAAAACTGTTCACGTTTAATAAATATTCTTAAAGTATGTAAGCTAACATGAAATGGAAATCCAAGGTTCCTGTCTATCTCATTCAACAAACATATGATTGGTGATCATTTTAAAAACCTTTTCAAATCCGCATAATAAAATCAATCAATCAATTCTTCATTTATTACTATTCTCAAATATTATTAAATATAAGATTTAGGCCCTCGAAAATCCTGATGCGTCCCGAAGTGTGGAGAGTCCTTCTCGAAATTCTCTCACATGGCCACACATATATAGACTCTATCAGGGAAGTCCTACTCACTGCCTTCTCGTGGCATTACTGTTGTATACGAAATTGAGAGGATGAAAAGCGAATGTCCGGCGCTTTAACCGGGTTGGTGGACATGGAAAGTTCACCAAGGGGAGTTGAAAAACCCTGATTGCAAACCGATGGTGTACATGGGCTCCAGTATCGTGAAGGAACAAATGGCGTATGAATCAATCGTTGGTCATGAGACTGCATCTCCTTACGATGCTCCACTGCCTTGTGGATCAGACCTTTAGGTCAAAGTCTCCTGGTGTGGCCCCCTAAGTAAGCCATCTTTTTATGTTTGGGCACCTATGTAGTATCACAGCCCTCACACAAATCGAATGGGATTTGTGTGGTGCATATGTATCTGGTTTTTCCTTGTACCAATATTTATGTGTTTAAATAAATAAATAAGATTTAAAAGTTATATTATTGAAAATGTTAAATTATTCAATATTTTACTTTTAGGTAAACAATCAAAGGATCAAAATGTTTTAGGAACATTTCAACAACAACCATTCATCCATAATTCAATTAAAGATTCTTATACAAAATAATCAATTGATGAATTCAAACAAATTCTACTGTCAACAATTATTAATACAACAATCCTTTTTTAAAATATTCAATTCATATAACTATAATAAGACTGATTATGATTACCATGTATAAAACAAGTAATATCCATCTTATCTCCATATTGGATATGTTTTATTATTCAGCTTAGAGATTATTACTTCTATGGAAAAATTGAATTGTTTAATATCATTGAAACAGTTGTTTTTGAGTTTTATTTCTTTTCATTATTAGAATTTGATTTTTAATCTACTTTACATAATTTGTACTTTTCATCAATGTAACTAACTTCAAGGAAAAAACATACGTTCCTCTTTTTTTGTAGACACATTTATCTGTTTATTGTAAAGTTATATACATAAATTAATAAACATGGGTAGAAAGCATTTCGAATTGAACATTACGAAATAATAATACTACTTATAGTAATAGTAGTAATAATAATAATAATGGAAGACAGGAATGTTGTCTCACGAATACTTTACTTACGATTAACATGACTATTTCAATTATGTATGAATGATATTGTACATGTAAAAATAATTTAAATGTAATGAATGTCATATTGTTTGTTTTATCAGTTTATTGTTCCTTTGTATTGAAGTTATCAAATGTTAATCAAACCGTATCACCACACTTACTTACTTACTTACGCCTGTTACTCCTCGTCGAGGAGGATAGGCCGCAAACTATCTCTACACAGATACACATAAATATACCATGGAAAGAAGGAAGAACATTGAAAAATAAAAAAAAATAATGTACTGTATGCGAGGAAAAAGAACATCACACATGTAAACAACATGAAATGTCTATTTTTTTGTATTTTGGTTTATAATTGATTTTCTTTTATTTTCCTTTTTATTGGTGATACTCTGTATCGATTTACTTTGTCAATAGTAACCATGGCAACAGAATTGGTGAGAAGAATAAAAAAAACTTTGAACAAATCAATAAGACTACATAATCAATAATTATCATTCTCCTTTTATAAATTCAATCAAATTCTATCATTATCGTAATTAACCTAAGTAAGTATTTATATCAAGACTGATTACATCATTGGTTAATGATGATATAGATTACATTCCGTTTACTCTACACATTCAAAACGATTTTTTTTACCTTAAAAATCTATAAAAAACAAAATCAAGTTTAATTATTTTTCATTTTTTTTGGCAAATAACTAATGAGACAATAATAAATGCTGTATAGTTTTCTTTTCTCTGTATTTCTCTCGCTTTTTTTTCCTCACATATGTCAATGTTTTCTTGCTTTCTTTGATTTTTTTTTATTGTCAATTTTTTATATCAATTCATAATCACTAAGCTAATGAATTAATGGTGTATAGAAAGCTGTAAAACAACATTGCAAGCTTAGAACTTGTCAATTACATTCATTAACTCCTACTGTTCAATGCAAAGAAAGTTTTCTATTATCTCCAAGGTTGATGCCATTTTTTTTCTTTTTTGTTTACAATTTTGCTATGTCACATTCGTTTTAAACTTTTAAAAAAAAACTTTCATGATATTTAAAATTTGGCTGTATAATTTTCTATTGTGAATGATTTGCATAATATTACTACTACTACTACTACTACTAATACTACTAGTACTGCCAATAGTAGTATTTATAATAATAATAAACATAATATCTGGGTAACGATCGATTAATTTAGGGAAATTTGTCTCTTTTTTTAATCTAACTAATTTTATTTGCCAATATCGATCGATCGATCGATTCATAATGTTACTACTTTTATTATCATTATTATTATTTGTGAATTGTGTAATTGTGTACGTTTATAATTTCTTGCCAAACAACAAAATATTAGATACCATTAAAATATTCAAAAACAAAAAAAAATGGAGAAAGAAAACTTGTGAAATGTCCATGTTATAAAGGTGTGGTAATTAAAAATAACAAACACTGAATAGTTTTCTTAATTTCAATTTTATTCCAATCATGAACCAATCTAAGTTTAATTATCTTTGATAACCTATGGGTACTGAACAGTTGTTTGGTCATTGTATGAAACTCTTTGGCAGTGAGCATACATGACCTAATCATTGCCATAAAGTGAAACATGGCCAGTAAGAGTAGAGGATATTTGTAGGCTACTAGTATTCGATCATACGTGTCTTCGAAGCATTGCTCTTATATTCTGAGACCACCGAGTAAGTAATGCAGTTGTTGGGAAACGGGTACTAGGTAAGGATAGAAAATCGGTTGATGAAGTAGTGAAACTTCATCAGTTGAGATGGCTGGGACACGTGTTACGTATGCCCAAACACTGACTGCCCCGATGTGCAATGTTTTATGGTGAAGAGTAGGTTGGAAGAAAGCTAGGGGCGGGCAGACCAAGGCATGGCACAAATTCATGAAGTCACTGACAATTGGACTAAGTCATGCTGGTAGGTGTAGACTAGCTGGTTAGGATTCGCAAGATGATAGCAATCGATGGTAAGAGACCTTGAATGACATAGCTCAAAATCGTTTGCAATGGCGAAGGTTCATCCACTCTTTGTGTTCTCTCAAATTCTGCTCTTCTGAATTCTTCAGGTCTCTATCTTTTTTTCTCTCTAAATTTTTTTCATTGTATTATATTCTTTCAATAACATATTCAAACCCTAATCTTTCAAATATTGCTTATACTCTTACTATTTCTTCCACTATGAGATTTGAATCGACAGCTGCATCTCTGTGCTAATGTGGTATGGCAACTGGAACTAATGTACGTACGTACGAAGTTCTACGTTGTGACTGACTGATATTAAGGATCGAACACAGAACCTTTGGGTTTTATAAAGATTATTTAATATATAACTCATTGAGTTCGGATCTAGTGATTTGAACGTCTAAATGCAATCGATTCACTATAATGTTCGATTATTATTTATTCCCACTGGTGGGTGATCGCCTTTCACTCGACATTATCGTGAGTCATTTTAAGGAGATCAATAAAAATTAGATATGATTTTTGTCTTATAGTCATACCATTTGTAGAATAATCATATGTTATTTGTGTTCAGTTAAATTGGGGAGTGCGTTAACTACAAAACTGATATCCAATAATCTTTAATGTAATTAAATTAAACTTAGTTTCGTGTATAAACATGCCGTATTAATAATAAAGGAAACCTATTTACCAAGGCACCTCTCTCCCACTTCTGGAATCGGTTTATTTGAGGGACGGCAGGAGAAAGTTTGTCGATAATTCGATCCCACGAAGAGTTATTACTCGATCTCATGTTATAATCAAATATTTTTCATTGATCAAAATCTGTTCTTTCAATTAACTATCCCCTCTAAATCCCTCCTCCTTTACCCGGGCTTGGGACCGGCAGCAACGCCCAGAGGAGCTACAGGCGGAGTTAAAGGCTATAGGTTTCGAAGGAAAGTGTAGCTGATGAACGAGCATTGAGGTCTTTCTTATTACAATTTTAAACTCCAGCTTCACAATTTGAATTTTTAATGGATAATTTTTTAATGTAAACTTCAGAATTCAGTTAAGTTCATAGCAATATTCAGGCCGTCAAATCCTATGAATCATATGCCAACATTTTAAATTGTTCATTCATCCAACATTAAATGATGTAACTAATGGCAGCTATTATCAAAAGTGAAAGTGAAATGTTTAAGTGTACATATATTTTACTTTTAATTCATTACTTCCCATGTATTTGCTTAAAAGAGATTAGCTTATCTAGTCATTTTCTTATTGCATGTTAATTCTTTGTTCAAACGATAACATCGTTGACATCTTCACAAATTATAACTTCTAATTAGTTGTCATTGCTTTCAGTTTGTTCACTCAGTTGTGTCCCAAGGTTATTGCATGTTACTACAAAAACAGCGTTACTTCATTCCAATTTTTGACTTTTGTACGGAACACAAAATTATCCTAAAAGTCCTGTCTTCTCTAAAAAACGTGTGAATTCTTAACATTGTAGTGTTCTTTTGTGACATACATTAAATCTATTCGAATTCCTGTTGGCTGCAACATGTTAGAAGCAACAATCATTCATAAGTAAAATTTATCGTAAGCCAGATTATAACTTGAATATTTTATTCATTCCTGTTCAGATGTATTATATTTATTATTATTAGCTTGATTCAATATTATATTATTTGGTACAAAATCGAATTCTCAGCATAAAGTATTTCAACATATTTACGTTTCTTATTTCTTCGTTGCTCCTGATAATAAACATTCAGTGATCGCCAGTTGGATGTCAGCAGTTCAGTCAATCGACATATGAATAATGTATATTCTTTTTGCTGCATGTTCCCAGCAAACACGACATCTCTGATTAGACCTTTTCTAACTTTTACAGCGAAAGGTTGTACAGTTTTCAGAAACGCACCGGAATAGGTTGTGTGCTTAATAGCCATAATGATGTATTAAAACAAACAATATTAGATAACTTGTTGAAATATATAGATGAAGGGAAACAGGTAGCCCAGATGTTTAAGCAGGCCGCCCGTCTAGTGTGTGTTATGAGCAAAGATGGATAGTGGCTAGCAGTGGAATCCAGGACGTGCGTTTCGTCCTATTTGAGACTCGTAAGTTGGATGTACCCGCATCTCAGAGTTGATGTTCACTCTGAGTCTCGAACCCAGTGGATAACGTGATGGTGTTTGAAGTGAAAGGTACTGGGTTCGAGTCCCAGAGTGAACATCAACTCTGAGATGAAGGTACATCCAGTTAAAGGATTTTAAAAACAGGACGAAACAGGCGTCCTGGATTCCACTGCTGGCCACTATCGATCTTTACTTATAATGCTTGTAAATTACGGCTTTATCCAGGCAATACTCACAGTATGCACATATGCCAATTAGAAACTGACCAGTTGCAGTCCTAGATATCAATGTGAAGATTCAAACAAACAATACTATGTGAATTTAAATGTGTGTTAAGATTTAAACCTTATTTACGCATTACTAAAGGATGTTTATTTACTAATAACATAAAAGCAAT